AATTTGAGAGGTGGGATTTCTACACTGCCGTTCCCTCCTGAACTTCCTTGCAGCCCACCCACGTTGCCAAATTTGGTGTAGTGGATAAGAGCACAGGAGAACCAAGTCTGATTCCCCACTCCTCCACATGCAGCTGCTGGTGTGACCTTGGGTAAGTCACAAGTTCTCTCAGAGCTGTTCTCTCAAGGGCAGTCCTTGAAGGAGCTCTCTCAGCACCAACACAGGAGAACCAAGTCTGAGTCCCCACTCCTCCACATGCAGCTGCTGGTGTGACCTTGGGTAAGTCACAAGTTCTCTCAGAGCTGTTCTCTCAAGGGCAGTCCTTGAAGGAGCTCTCTCAGCCCCACCTACCTCCTCTCTGTTGTGGGGAGAGGAAGGGAAGGAGATTACAAGCCGCTCTGAAACTCTGAGTGAAGGGCAGGGTATAAATCCAATCACCTCCTCCTCGTCTCTTTCTTACAGCAGCATTTGGGCAGCAAGCAAGCCCAGTCACCAAGGCAACGACACAGAGAGAAGCATCCCTCTTCACATACTACGGAGGACAAGTAGAGGCATATCTACGCATCCAACAGGCCTGCTGCATTTAACACCATCACAACACTACTTTTTAAAAAAAAATATTTTTTAATTTATTTTCCCACATAAATACATATATGAACCAAGTGTTACAAACTTACAGTTACTTTATAGCTGAAACTCCACGCAGAGGAAGGTTCGTCAACAACTTCTTGATCCTGTTATTTTTAACCTCCCCCCCCCCCGAGAATTACTCAATATTTACTTGCTGATAAATCCATCAAACTGACAGAACTTGTGGCTGAATATTTGGCTTTTGTGTTGAATTAGGGTAACAAAGGCTCTGGTCACACGGGCAGGAAAATGGGCAGGAAAAAGCGGGGGGGGGGGGGGGAAGCGTGGCTGTTTGCCCCGGGGCAAAATAACGCAGGGTTAAGTGATCAGACCTCCTGTGGAGGTCCCGTGGAGGACCTGTGGGTAGGGAGAGGTGCCGATCACAGGACGGTCCTGCGCACAACAAAGAAGCTGCGCAGTGTGCGGCAAACTGGTTTTTTTTCCGTGTACACCAAAAATGTGCATGCTCCGCTGGGTGCTTGTGCGCATCCACAGAGACTTGTAGGGGAAAAAACCTTTTTTGCAAGGGGACATGGGCGGGCGCCGGATGCCACTGGAAACGCGATCAGATGCCCGCCCTTACCCCGCGGTTTCCGGAAACTAGTACCTTTGAGGTACTAGTTTTTTGCTGCATGTTTTCGGCAGGAAGCCTTGGTTGTGCCATGGAAACACTATGCTTCCCAGATGTGCCAGTGAGATCACGCCTGGAAAATCCGCCTGTCTTCCGTCTCTCTTGCGTGGCTAATGTTCCGTGTGACC